GCCGCAGCCATGTCCCGAGCATGGCCGTTCTCCAAGGGTGACCGGCCACCGCGAGCGGGAGGGAGGCAGGTAGAAAGAACATGGCCCTGAGCATGGACCAGCCGAGCTGAAGCGACCACGAAGCATCTGGTGAGCAGCCAAAAAAACTGAAGCTACAGTGCTGCACCTCATGCACCGACCTCCACTTCAGGAGCTTAATTAAAAGCGAAGCTGGCAGCAGCAGGATTCACACTAATTATGACTGACCTACATTTTAGGGGGGAGAATTGCTTAAACCTAATTAAAGCCTGCACATGGATCCAGGTGCTGCTGGACTGGGCTGGGGAAAAAAAATGGATTCCCCGGGGTTTTGGTGTGGAACAGAGCTGCGTTTCAGGGTGAGTATTTGCAGAGACGCTCCTGCAGGCAGGAGACACAGCCGGAGCCGTCTGGAGCAGCGGCTCCTGCCCGCAGCCCTGACTGCCCCCCAAGCACAGGGCGGCTGCAAAACGAGGGTGAAGAAGCCAAGCAGAAGGTGGGAGGAGCGGGGTGGGAAAAGGCAGGGGCTGCCTCCAGCAGCACACAACAGCTCCGGTCGGTGCCACGTGAACCAGTTGCCCAAGTCTTCCCCCATACCACGGCTAATAGACTTTCCAGCTTCCAATTATTATTATTTTTTCAAGGAGCTGCAGTTCAATTCCGTACTCGCAGCCCTTCAAAGGCACAGCTGGGGGGGTTTAACGACTAATAAGCATCCAAAGACAAAAGACGACGCCTGTCAATGCACTGAAACATGAAATACACTGCCAGCGCTGCCAGGCCTGATCACAATGGGAGGGGTTGTGTTGTTCAGGGCTTGTTCTTACTCTTGCACAGTTTAATATAATAGAGGTAATACTCACAGCAGGCCACCCGCAACGCAAAAGCAGGCAGGAAAGCCGTCCCCGCAACTCAGCTCTGTTGTTGCCCTTTGCAATTTCAGTTTTTGTGCGGCCTTTTTCCTGGGGCTTTGACAATGTTATTAAAATACCTTTTAGCAGGGGCTGCAGTGGAATGCCTGGAGCACCTTTGTTGGAGGAACGTGATGCTCGTAAGTTAAATAACCCTCAGAACGTCAGATAAATAAAGTTGGAACCTTGCAGATGCAGGAAAAATTAAATTACCAAGTGCAGATGGTCCTCAATTAAGAGCAGCGTTATCAACACACCAACGGCCCCTCTGGCTGCAGCCCCAGCACGATCCTGCCCCAGCGACAGCAGCACAAGAGCAGCCATTCGGAGGCAGAGAGGAGGGAGGAAAAAAAGTGCCCGTGACAGGGTGAAACTGCGCTGCTCCCCAAAATGTGCACCCCGTGACAGACGATGCTCCCACCCAAACCAAGGTGCCCCCACGCTGCTCTCGGGTCGGCTCGTCAGTGGCTGCGGTTTGGGTAATGCCACTCAAGAGTCCCCACGGTGCCGGTGAACCACACCGGGAATGACCGGCACATCCCAGCCCATCCGCAGACACCTGAGCCCACGCCGGCTGCAGCGTAACCCAGGATCAGCAATCGCATGACAACCCGGCCGCTCCCCAGCTTTTCCACGCGTTAGCTCATTAATTAAAGCCTTAAAAATTAAATTGGATACATGGATTAACTCGCTTCGCAATTAATCTGGCAACTGGAAAGCTGCTTGCTGACACCATTCAGGCTCCAACAAGGGGAACCCCTCACCCTGGCTTCCCAGCGCCTCTGATGGGTGCTGGCTCAAATGATGCTGCCCAGGAGCACCCGCCAACACCCACCCACCAGAGCATCCCCCTGCGCGGGCGGGCACTGCGCGGCGTGGCACGTCCCGGGCACGGCT